CAGGGGGGAGTGGGGGAACCAGCAGGGGCCGGCCGAACCGGGATCATATATACACATGTGTGTATATATATATATATATATGTTTATATATATATATATGTGTATATATATATATGTATATATATATATATATATATTTATTTATTTATTTATTTTTCTGGGGCTCACACAAAGTCTGGGGTACCCCGACAGAGATTCCCAAAGCATCAATGGAATGGAACTTCTTCGAACTTCGAGTTGGCGGCCGCTTCCACAAGGCCTTCCTCGTAGACGCCGTCAAGGGGCGTCGTGGCAGGTCTGGGAGAGTTTCTTCGCGACCGCTTCCTTGAGGCCGGCCTGTATTTCTTGCCGGGGAAGGCTCTCCCCCGCCACCCCACCCTGCTCGGAACCGTCCCTGTCGTGGAGACAGCGCCTGCCGATGCTTTCACTGGATACTTCTCGTTGACGGGTCTCGGGGTGAGGAAGTGCTGCATCAGGTCCTGCATCTCGGTCTTGGCTGCGGAGTCGTCCAACACGGAAATCACCTGGAAGCGGATCAACGGCAGGTCGTTGTGGATTAAGGAAAGGTCCGCAAAGGAGCCCCTGTAGAAACCACACCAAACATCCAAACGTCAAGCCCCAAGCGCTGGCAACGCCACCCAAAAACCCAACAAGAGCTCTCTTCAAAACCCAGTCACAAGTCTGTGGAACAGACATCTTGACTCAAAGCCCAATGAAGCCGCAGCCTAGAAGCCCTAGATATCCGAAATCCACCGATAGATAGTAAACCCTAAACCCTAAACCCTAAACCCTGAACCCTAAACCCTAAACCCTAAACCCTAAACCCTAAACCCTAAACCCTGAACCCTAAACCCTAAACCCTAAAGTGTGAAGCTCGGGGTGCATGGTGCCCCCTCCGGTGCCAGCCAAGGCCAGATCGAAATCCGCCTCGGCTATCCTGAGAGGATCGGGGTCTTAGGGGTTTGGGGTTTGGGGTTTAGGGGTTTAGGGTTCAGGGGTTTAGGGTTTAGGGGTTTAGGGGATTTGGGGTTTAGGGGGTTTAGGGCTCAGGGGTTTGATGGCTCCCAGTGTTGTGGGGCCATCATCAAGACTCTCTTGGCCACATTAGGGCTGCTATGCGACGTGGACCTTTAGGTAACTGGTTCTTGAAACACTGGTCAGGCATCTCTGCTTGAGGTGCTTCCGAACCTTTCCGTGTTAACGCCTTTGTAAAGCCTCACCCCTAAACTTAAACTTCCCTAAACCCCAAACCTTTCTGCGTTGACGCCTTTCTGAGTCATCAAATGTAATCGAAACACAGGGCCAGCAGTTCTCTTCTTCCGTCGTTGAAGAGCTCCGTGGAGGAACACCAGAAACGGAATTGTCTTCGGAATATGCGGGAAACTCCCACATACCTTCATCCTAAAAGTCCTATGTGCTTAATTATTGTAGAGCTTTTAGTTATGCATATACATATATACACGCACACAGATAAGTACATATACCTTAACAAGGCTGCGTAAAGTGCACCTACCCAGCTAGCAAGGAGAGTTTGACGGCTTGGGGGGGGTGCAGATCAAGAGCGAGGCGTTTAAAATGTCTTGCTATGGGCGTGAGCGAGCAGATCTCAAACCTCAATACTGGATGTGATGTTTGTGTAATATAGCTCGGAAATGGATGTTCTTGCTGGTTTTGGTTTTGGAGAGCCATGTGGCGACAGACTTTGGAATTTAGCCTTAGCCGTTCCGCTCGCATTGAAACGAGGTCCCCGTCCGTGATATCGGGGCCTTAATGATTTTAATAGGGCCATTGAGATTTGAGGCATATGAGAGTAGTGTTGGGGCAGATTATCTTGGTATTTTGTTGGCCTTCATTATTTCAATACGGTAGGTTTCTGAAGTGTAGTATTAAAGTAATATTAGAACAGGCACTATAGGGGTAGTTATTTAGTCACCGTATATTCAACGCTTAGTCCTGGATTGTCGGAAACACTACCCTAAACCCTAACCCTAAACCGAATAAACATTGGTGGGATGCAGTGGTGGGAGATTTGGGATTTCGGTTCTCGTGTTTAGGGCTCTGCCATGGCTGCTTCGGTTCAGCTGTGCAGGCCGTAGCATGTCAGGGTTTGGGGTTTAGGCTTGAGGGTTCAGGGTGTAGGAGATTCGACTTCCTAGTTTCTATCCTTTAAGTAAGGCTTTGGGGTTCAGTGGTTACGATGTAGGAGGTTCCTTCGATATTTTAATTTGGGCAAGGCTTTGGTCTTCAGACCGTCTGCTTTGCTGCCGGGCGGCATGAGGCCTTGTCGCACGGACGTTCCGTGCCACAGGTACACCTCGTTCACATCATCGTCCAAGTCGCCTCTCTATGCCAGGAGATTTCAGAAATCGGTCGACCTTGACACCCTAAAAACTCAGAGCCCTAAACCCTAAACCTAGAACCCTAAAACAACTAATTATATTGGATAGGCATAAACAGGGTCATAAGGTTGTTTCGGAAACCCCATGCTTGGCCCTAAAGCCTACAACCGAAGGATTTAGGGTACCCTAAACCCTAATCCAAGCCCGGCCGCTCAGCATGTCGCTCAGGGGGAGACTCACCAGTGCGTCGCGGGTGAAGATGTCCTTACCCAGAGGGTCCATATACACTGCCATTATGGAATTAGGTCCCAAAAAACAATCCCTAGTATGGTTTTGGGGACCTAATTCCATAATAGTAGTATATATGGACCCTCTGGGTTAGCAACTGCTGGAGTGTTGCAGAGACGTGTACTGTAGGAACCTGATTCAAAAGCCCTCGTCCCAGAACCCAAAGTATTAGGATCCATATAAAGAGCTTTAATCAAGAATCAGGGTTCTTCACACAGGTTCCTCTTGTAGCGATTTCTCCCCTAACCCCTCTAAACCCCATGCCTATAAGCCCTAAACCCGATTTCTGTTTTGGTGTCCGAAGCCGAAGTCCCGGGTTGGCAGGACCCGGGAGGTACCAGGACCCTCCCTGTACCCGCAAATACGGTTAGGGTTTAGGGTTTAGGGTTTAGGGTTTAGGGTTTAGGGTTCAGGGTTTAGGGTTTAGGGTTTAGGGTTTAGGGTTCCCAACTGATGGCTGCTTAGGGCCTAATAGAAGGTAGACTGTGACTTTCACCTCTGTTGTTATGTTTGGTGGCTCATCGCCGCGCAGACAGCAGGAAGACAACAAGTGCATAAAGGCACGGGATCTTCCGTTTGAAGCCGTGAGTCTCCAGAAGCACAGAAGTATCTGCAAAAAGCTTAAACCTTGAAACTCAGAAGACTTACACGCTATACTATGCGCCGAAGCCAAAGGATACCAACATCCCGAACATCTTTCGACTCCTGAAGAATCTCACGAACCGCGAACCTCCCAAACCTCAAAATCGGAAAGCTCTCAACCCAACACGCCCCCAAAATAGCTAAACTAAATCCAACAAGCTGGTAAGCCCTGAACCAGAAACAGCGAGTTAAGAGCCCAAAAACGAAGTACTCCATACACAACTAGCAACAACCCTAAACCATAAACAAACAAATAAATTAATATATACATATATGTATATTCGATATGTGTATAAACATATATATATATANNACATATACACACACACACATACAAACACCAAATTTTCTAAACTCTGAGCGTGGCCGTGGTGCCGGGCTCGGGGCCTCACAGCGGCCGCGCGCTTCTCCTGGGCTCACGTAGCCCAGGAAACCGACCCAAAGGGTTTAGGGTTTAGGG